TTTAAATAAACTAAAAAGATGTTATGAGAAAGCTTTATGCGAATCGGATAATAACCACGCCTACTTTCCATATAGCAGCATTTTATTTTCCATTTAATTCTTTCACTTTCCGCTACAGAAATCAGGAAGAAATTGATATAACGGGATAAAGCTTTACATGAATAGTACCTTATATGCGTGCCACCTTATCACGGAATATTTTGATACCAGTGCCTATAGTTGACTTTTGATCGAAAATATCGGTCAATGCTTGAGATATATTTGAAGATTTAAGAGAATTCTCTTCAATATGTCTGTGTGCTAAAAATGGTTTGATTTGGGTTAATACTTCTTTTAGCCCCAATAGAGCTAATGTAAAGTTTTTCGAATTACCAGGTAAATGTATACCGTATAAATCGGGCAATATGAGAGTTAACTAAGTAAAATTGAGAGAGCGTATTTTCCTTATAACGATGCTTAGAATGAATAAAATCGGTTAAGTCTTTCCCTCTCGACGCCATATAACGACCAGGCGTTATGTACTTGAAAGTATTTCCTTAATTTTAATCATTTCGAGAAAAGTATGAAATGTTCGGTTATACCCAAACTTAGCTTTTCCTTACTTATTTACATTAGCGAATATGCCTTTGTCACTCGTTTCGAAAAATACTTTTTGCGGATTGTGCAGAAAAAAGTAAAAGAAAAAAGCTAGAGCGGCAGATGGTACAAATGTAAATCTCAACAATGATCCATAATAAAAACTCCACAGTCAAGTTATTAAATTTTGCTTAATTTCTTACGAACCTTTCTTGTCATCAAACACTTGAAGATGTTCACTTATGCGATTAATAATATAATCAATATCATATTCTTAAAGACATTTGTTTACCTCGACGACAGTTGAGTCAATATAAGCCACTTAAAAATATTCTTATTCTCAGTTAAAAGCTTCGGAAAGTAGGAACTTGAGGGACTTTGACTAAACTCTTTATGCGGTGAACTTCCAAATTGCGGCACAAAACATTTCATAATTATACATTTGGAATTATGTTATCCCAGCAATTATTTGTAATAAGTAAGCGAGTATGTCGGTCATATCATATTTCTTTATTGTAAACTTATATAATTTCAGCTTTGGTAGTTGGACTGCTCATCACCATTTCGGTAGACACGACTGAAGCTCAGACATCTTCTATAGGGACTAAGGGAATTGTGACTAAATCACCAATAAAACCCACCACAAAGAGCAGACCTAAGAAAGGAGGATGGAAAAAAATTAAAAGAAGACTATTAAAAGGAGTGCTTCGCTCACCCAAATTTTTTTTGCCCAAGAAATAAGCTGTTGGTGAAATCCAATGAGTTTTTAAAATTGTAAAAATTGTGCGAATTAGAAAAACTTGTAAATTAAGTTAAATATAAAATATTATTCAATAATTTCCGATACTTAATTCCAATGGTTCAGGTTACCTTATCAATAGTTGCAAAATTGGTTTTCCATCACCATAAACATATGCTCAATGATGCTCATGTGTTGGTTGGTTAAAAATCTGGTTATACCCAAGGTATAACCAAATTTTTAGTTTCTCAAAAAGAAATCGGTGTGGATGACTCGGCGCCATATAGAGCCTGCTTTCTCGCAAACCTTTTTGGATAAGAAGAGAGCTTTGCCTTTCTTTTAGCCGTTTATGTACTGTGAACCATGAATGTTTTCTCTATAACTACCGAAAACTCATTTAAACTTATATATTTTTATAATTTGAATTTCTTTAAAAATGTTGAGAAATATATAAATATCTCTTCAATATCGCAGTTCGGGTGTCTTTGTACAGCGTCGGTAGGAGTTCTTATAATATATGCGCTAAGTGAATTTGGTTGTAGTAGCTTCAATAGTTTATGAGATATGAACATTAAAGCCAATAGAGGGCGTGACCATGCCTATTTCTTCAACCATTACTACTGCAATCCCCTGTTTGCCATAGGAATCTTAATCAAACTTACTATATCTTAATATAGTGCTTAGTTATGGGTCTTTATATGTTTTCGGTTAATGGCGTTTGGTGGGCGTGGCAGTGGTACACTTACGATATGGATAAAAAATAAGGTTGCATAGCGACAAAACGCCTAAAGTCTGCCAGTGTGTCATTAAAAGTATGAGATACTTCGACGTTAGTGTGGCGAAAGCTGGACAGTGGAAAATAAGTGTCTAGATATTTCACTTGCATCTTCCTCATTGCATCTATGACAAACTATGTCCTCCAAAATTTTTACCCTAACCGCGTGAGTGAAAATGGGTCAGAGTAAATATAGGACGTTTCCTGGTATCTTGCTTAGAGCTGACAAAGAGTGAACTGAAGACATATATATCAACTCTTGTTTCATATCACCCAAAAAGAAGGCGTACTTCGAAGAAGTCAAAATTTTACAATGGGCATGGCATTGCCCACATTTAGATGAAAGAACATATCTCCGGACCTACTAGAACAATTTCAACTAAATTCTGTAGATAACCTTATCTGAACGTTTTTATGTTGAATTGAATAAATTAAATTTCAACACACAAATCATGCACCAACCAATATATTCGAAAAAAAAAAATTCCATAAATAGTCGTTTTGAGGTAAGCCAGCTGGAGTCTAAAAATTGTTAAAATCGTACCAAAAAGGTTCAAGCCACCACGTCTCCATTATGTGGACTCAAGTATGTTTGGCTGACTTTTTGCCAAAAATGTCCATCTATCTGTGAAATATGTTCTTGAAATTCGAGAGAATGTGTCTTTTCTTAAAGATATTGTATTTTCAAATTGAACGTTTCCGAAGGTAAGAACCGGACAGGTGTTCATCTTACTCACTTTACTGTGAAAATCTAGGCTGTGCACTAGTCCGAATTACAATAGAAATCATCCTATAATTGAGTATGTTAATTAAGTTATCCCAGCAATTATTTTTAATAAGTAAGTGAGTACTTGGTCATATCACATCATATTTTCCTTCTTATAAGCTTATATAATTTCAGATGTGGCAGTTGGTCTATGGACACGACTGCAGCTCAAATATTTTCTACACATAATAAGGAAATTGTGACTACCCCTCGTTATGGAATCGAAATATCCACAGTGAGTCAACCAACAACTAGGTCATCAAAAAGAAGAACCAAAAAGAGGAAACGAAGAAAGAATTCATTTCTAAGAAGACTATTAAAAAAGGTTTTGAGTGCAGCAAAGTTTAATATCAACAAAACTTTTTAAAGTTATAAAATATAGAAAAAAATAAGAATAATTAAAATATTATAACATAAAATATATTATGAAATAAAAAATATTAGTAAATAAATTCGAATTAAAACAAGTAAGGAAGAGCTAAGTTCGGATATAACATTTCATACTTTTGCAACGTTTAAGCACTAAAGCATGAAAGGGTCCAGAGGCAAATTTTCACCCAATTTTTATTAATTTTAAGCACAAAAATGCACCGTTATTAGAAAATCACACACTCATTTTGATAGAGATAACTCACTTGAGAGCCGATATGTGCGGCATAAAGTCGCATCGAAATCTTTAAATTAGATATTTGGGGGCTAAAGGAAGCATTGACCCCGTTTAGTCCATTTATATCGCAGAGGGATGCTATTATCAGGAAAGGATTCTCTCTGAATATCAATTCTGTATCTGACACATTGACCGACATTTGCGGCAAAAAGTCAGCTTTAGGAACTGGATTCAAAATAAACGGTACTCAGGGACTTGAACAGTTTTAGCTGGATTTGAAGAATTTTCGGCCATAAGATGGTGTACACTAAGGGCATTATTAGTGCAAAGCTTTAACGCTTTATATTAATTGCTGCTTGATTTGATAGAAGAACCGAATGGAATTGTGTTATACAAGAAGTAGGACTACAGCTACGTCCGATTTCGCCCATTTTCACACTGTAACATAGAAGTTGTCAAAGAAATGCGACACACCAAAGATTGGTTGAAATTGGTGGGGCAGGTCGCGAGATACATATATGTTTTCACCTAAATGAGAATGGTGCCTCCCCCATAGTCAAAATTTGACCCGGCTCTTATAAAGGCTTCTTTTATTACATCCAGGATGTAAAATTTAATGAATCTGAGGCATTTGGTCATTGATTTATCGCACTTCAAGTATTCTTTATTAAAACCCTTATACGGCGAGTGGGCGGGGATATCATCACATTTTATCCATTTTCGCATTGTCCGTAGGGATTCTTGAAATCCTGAACAACAATACCTATAGCTGAAGAATGATCGTGTCATGTCGGACTATCCGATTTCGAAAGCGTATTCAAAGAATAGTGGACCTGTGCGGAATCTTCCCTGGGAACCAATTATTCTCAATTTTCGATAACTTATTTACAGGGATCACCCTTTACATCTATGCTTTTGAAATCATAGAATAATATTTAGTTATATTTTTGGTTATGGAAATTAATTGTCTTCTCGGTAATCTAATTTGAGTTCTCTGATGTCGGGATTTAGATGTTTTGCCTACTTTACAAGATCTTTCTTTCCACCGCATGCTTATAAAGGTGCTTAATGGATAACCCTGTATATAGTGATCGCAAATTTACTCCAAGAATTCTGTTTAGTTATCTTTTATTAAATTCTCTGTAGTAAATTTTATTTTGTTAAGCGAGTGTCCCCCATTAATAATAACGAATCTCTTTTTAAGGACATTTTTTTTTTTTACAAAATTACCATGAATAACAGCTGATATATTATACCAAAAGAATTATTTTGGCCAAAATAACGAACATTGTAATCGAACTTCTTCTTCCTCTTAAAAAATCTGTTGCTTCAGAATGTATCAAGTTTTAAACAAACACCGTTAATTTATTTGTCATAATTAAGCCATAAACAAAGACACTTCGGCTAAATTTCTTTTCTTACGTAAATACCTTTTATTATTCGAAAACAAATGGTTTGCTATAAATAAGCCCACGTATTCTTTGAAGCATACCAAGTTATTATTTTTTACACTGTAGCACCAATTGGAAAGCAAGAAATGCTGATACTCCAATTTTCTGCTTCGCGTAAGTTCAAGTAAGCTTCTGCCTCGCAGTCTTCTCATAACGTGCTTGTGTTTTCAGTTTTCGGAGCGCTGCTGTTTTTCTATACATTATTTTTCATACAAGTCGAGCTTTTATATGCACAAGTTACATCCACATCGAGCAGTGATCTTACAACAAACGCCACGAAATCTGCAACTGCGTTCACTACAACAGCTACGACACTTGCAGTGGTTCCAGCACCTGTGGAAAGTCCGGGGACAAGTATAACTGGTGAAGTAATTATAGTGATTGGTGGATCAGGCACGAGAATACCAACTGCAGGCACGACAGCCACAACGAAAAAGTTACCTCCTGGCTTGACACCAACACCTTCAATAGTAACTAAGAAACCAACTGTTAAGGCAACGCCACCAACCAAAAAACCGCCTATAATCAAGAAACCATCACCGATTACAAAACCCCCTCCGACTAAAAAGTCACCGATTACCAGGCCTACCAAACCTCATAAGAAACCACCGATTACAAAACCACCGATTACAAAACCACCGATTACAAAACCACCGGCGACCAAGAGACCACCACCGATCACAAAACCACCTCCGACCAAAAGACCACCACCGATTACA